TCTTATGATTTCTGATTTATATTTTATAATTGTGAAGGAATCAAATGGTGAAGTATACAGCCCAATAAGGGCTGTAGAGGCTGAAGTGAAAAGCCCAAAAAGGGCTGTAGATGCTGAACTGAACAACCCAATAAGGGCTGTAAAGCCTGAACTGTACAGCCCAATCAGGGCTGTACCTGCTGAAGTTTATAGCCCAATAGGGGCTGTTCATGGCAATAAAGAGAAGATAAGGAGAGATCAAACTGAGCTGAATGGAGTCAGCTCAAGCTGTTCAGAAGAGGCAACAAGGAAGAAGAAGATAAAGGTTGAAGAATTTTGAAGGCTGAATGAAAACATTAATTTCATGACTAAGTTAGATATGTTTGCTTGAAGTCTGTGGTTAAAAACAGTTTGAATTCAGGATTTATGTAGTCTTCTCCCAGTTACATTGTTTTCCATGAATAATATTCCTATTATCTATGTCATAATGTTTGTTCTATTAACTTTTTTAAAGCAGATTCTGTTATCCTTTTAACATATAATCTATCACTAAGATAACTATATTTAATCTTCAATGAACAGGATAAAAACAGCAAAAACAAGAAAAAATAGGAAAACAACAACATGGGATTTTAAGCACATAACTTAATCAAAACACCTTTGTTTCCAAAAGAAAATAACTTAAACAGCAAACATAAAAGTATGCAAAACAATTCCTTGAATGTAAACAACATAGTATTTTTTTGAATGAATACAGCAAACACAAAGTATTCAAACACTAAGTAATGCCTTTATCATTATCTCTTTACTACATATGTACAGAAATAATAGAACAAAAACAGAGAATACATCAAAACAGCAATAGGATTTAACTAATAAAAACAACAAAACAGTATAAACTAAGTTAATGATGAAATAACTTAAAGATATCATATCAGTTTTCAAAAGCAAATGACTTAGCCAGCAAAACACAAAGAGTGCAAAGCAACATCTAACATTTAAACATCAAAAACACTTATTCATGTTGTTAAGGGTTTAGGTTTTTAGGGTTTCAGTTTGTATTGATATCAGGGTTTCATGATTTAGGGTTTGGTGTTTCAGGGTTTAGGGTTTAATTTTTAGGCAATAGGCTTTAGGGTTTGGGGTTTCAGGGTTGTGTTTAGGGTTTAGGGTTTTTTATAAATATATTTATATAAGTTGTCTACAGTAAAAACCTCATTCAGATTAGCATTTTTTACTCTAATCAAAACAGCAGAATAACACCAAGAAATAAAAACATCAAAATACAAACAAAACAACCAAGTGTTCAACATATAATCATGCTTTTTAACACAAATGATAACTTTTCAGCCAAATAACAACTAAAAAATTCATAAATTCCGAGTTTTTTAGCAATTTGAGAAAGTGCTACAAATGATAGCCAAGATTTCAGCCTACAAATAAAAAGAATTAACAAGATAACCCAAGATTTCAGCACACAAATGATAACCCAAGATTTCAGCCCACACGATATTACAATAATGAATCAGTTTTTTATTAACCTTCCATATAAAACAAATTAAGTCAATAATCCTAATAAAGGCTATCAAATGCACTTAATTTATTTACCATATATATACATGCCACAGTTTTCTATATAAATCCCTAAAATATCACTTCAGTCACTTTATAACCAAACTTTCAACAGTTTTTCAGCAGCAGAAATTTATATATAGTCACTTTATCACTTCAGTCACTTTATCACTTCAGTTTTTCATATACCAAGAAAAAAGCATATATAACCAAACTTTCAGTAGCAGAAATTTATATATAGTCAACAATTTTCAGCCAAATTCAACTTTCAGCAGCAGTTCATCATCAGGCACAAAAGAACCATACAAGAAGAGTATACAAAGCATACAATCAAGCTGGAATCAACACAGTTTTTCATTTAGAGCAAGCAGTCAAACATTGGCCAAACACCCAACAGCATGAAAAGGTTATCCAGTGGGTACAACATATTGGGCCACAAAAGGAGCAAACAAGATACAACAGCTAATGGTACACAGTTACAAAACGCGCGATATATTTGAAAGATTATAATAATTGGTTACCTTTTAGCATTACTCCAGCAATCTGCTGTTTTTCAGGCTTTCATTGTGTTCCCCCTCTTACCGATGTATTTGCACAACTTTGGCTCGACCTTTTTTTTAACCTGCGTATATCAAAAAGTTGTTAAAAATCTATTTTTTTAATAGAAGAATAGGTAATGGAAGACATCAGAGAACATAAATACTTATCTTTTTTTTGAATCATTTGAATGCATACTCGAAGAATGGCCCTGTTTAAGATTAATAGCATATTATCAATATGAATATATACTATGTAATAACGTTGGACAGTGATCTATTATAAAAAAATAAGAAACTAACCTTCTTCGACCTCGGCCT